AGAGGACCAGGCAGGGGTGATACATGCCATCTCTCCTTTTTGGATGAAACTTTGCCAGATTGAAGGTACTACCCAACAACTCTAAAAGACAAAGTGGCCCGGCTTTGTGATTTTTTCCCTTAGGAGTTAGACCACCCCCCTGGTTTTTTGCCCAAAATCCCAAAAATGTCACTAAAATAAGCATCAAATTTAAACACTGCTCCTGCTTACAGAATACATTGAATTTTATTGGTATTTCACACAAATAAAGATTGGACCTATCTTAGTTCACACCAGGAATTTCAATTCATTTGAAGTGACAGGTGCCAATCAAGGAATGTCATTTCCTACCCATGTCACGCAACATTTAGCTATAAGGCAAATTAGCTCCAATTCTGTCAGACCCAAATATTACTTAAATCCAACTTTCTAAATCAAAACTAATTTCATCAAAGTTTAGAGTCACCCTTGGCCTGATGAAATCAAGAATAAAATTTTTGGCATCAGTTCTGTTATTTTTTGGCAACAAAAGCTGTTCAAGCAACATGATGAGGGGCTAGTTTTAACAAAGAGACAAGGGCAAAATCTAAAAATATTAGATATTATAGAATCAGTTCATCAAAGTTTTTCTATGTTCATGTCATTAACAAAGTCTTTGAATATTATTTAGGCCAGTGGAAGCTCAATGAATGCAAAACTCTTTGCAATACCCCTTAACCCTCGGATGTACAAGGGGCGTAGGGGTTGGATGCCATCCCCCAATAAGGTATTTTCAAAATTATGAAGACGGTTTACTCTATGGGGCTGAAACTTCCATTAGCTGTTCATTCATCCTTCACAGATATTTTGATATGTCAATCGTGTGTCCATCATTTTTATGTTTCCATAGCAACCGCTAGTTTCATGTAGGTTTGGCCAAAAATCAACTTTTTTGACCTAATTCTGTATTTTTTCCAGTTTTCTTCATCAAATTCCAGAAATTCACCAATATGTACATTTCACAACTATTTTGGCTTGATTTTGTATCAATTTCTGTTATTTCTTGACTTTTTAAGAAAAAAGTAAAATCGAAGATGGCGGATCCAAGATGACGGGTCAAATAACGTCATTTGGCATCATATGATGTCACAACCAATAAATATGGTATCATTTTGTAGAACAAGCTCAGGACTATCTAATCAATGTAAATATATTTCAATGTACCTAAACAGAGCGCAAACCCAAGAGGGTTCCATCCATTTCCCCCCCTTATACCACAGTGCAGGCGCTAGTTAGCTTGTACATCCGACGGTTAAAATAACAGTGCAAAACACCTCAATTCTATTTGTACAATTTAAATATGGGAATAAAGGGCCATGATATGTAAATTCTAAAACATTGAGTAGTTAGATGAGAGTTTTCCTGGGCAAATCTCACTTTTTAGATTACCTTTGAAACCCTGCTCGATCATCACAGGCGGGTCACATGCTTGATGTTGCAATTGATTATTGTCAACTCTTACTTTACACTCGGCATACAAGCTCATCAATGCTGAGAAGTATTCTTTGCTGACATTATTGTTTGCCCTCATATATTAACTCTTGAGCTCACCCAATGAATATTCATTTCATGCGAATCCAGTGAAAAAACATCAGGCAGGCAAGTAAACTTAATTGGTATAAAGATAAACATTGTGCATGTAATTTTGAAAGCATGGGAATAAGAACCAAAGACCTTGATCAGCAGCAAATAATATCACTAAGTGATAATTAATAGTTTGTTGTTGTTATTATTATTATTTATCATATTTATTTATATTTATTGTTGTCATTTATTATTTATTACCACTGCGCAAGGGATTTCAATCTCTATTTATAGATGTGCACACTCCAATGATAAGAATGGCTTCAATGTTTTGCTCAATTGTAACTTTTTGGAAAGGAAAGCTCGACAATACCANGATGTTACCTTTGTTCTCATCTCATCCACTCACTTGCCAGCCTTAGAGAGTGCACAGGCATTAAGATCGTCAGATATGATTTCAGTGATCCACAGGCTGGAAAGGACCTCTGTGACAGAAGAATTGCCACAGTGCAGAGCCATGTGCTTTGTAACATAAATGAAGGCTACGACATTAAAAGTGCTAGTGATATTCTATGGCCAGTTGAAGGGTGTCAGGCATCAATAATATTGTTAAGACTCAGGAATCAGGCCAGACCATGAAGCACACAATGTCTGGGATCCTATCTCTAAATTTTTTTAGCTTCAAGTCTGGAGGTTTGAAAGTGTAGAAGGCTTATGATACGGGCCCTGGTAAACGTTTCACACCTGCACATGAGGAATGGATTTGAAATACCTTAAGGGCCTACAGACTTATGCGTACTGCAAGAGAGACTGCTACTTTTAAAGCCAAGAGTTTGACAAGTGTCAGCTCCAACAGCCTCAGTCTAGGCACAGTTAATAGAAGGG